GTTTCTGCTCTACTCTAAGCAGTACATTTGCTAGCAACTTCTCAGATCTTTTAATAGAAAATTAATTTAAGCTAATGTTAAGAGACACTTCCTGGAAAGAAGGCAATATCAGGAAATAGGGCTTTAAATGTTAATCTATGTGGCTAAGTGAAGCACAATCTCTGTACTAAAGACAAATCAAAGGACAAACAGTTTAACAACAGCTATCCCCTTCTTTCAGGAAGGTCTAGGATGGGTTCCATTTTCAAGCTTTTATATGGGCACATGGCTCCCCTATATTCTGTTTTTAAATGCTGAAGATTTATTAAAGCAAAGCATCACATTGCCAGACAGATATTATTAGAAACATTTTTATTTAAATTCAGACAATAGAAAGGTATCACAGAAAAAAAAATTACAGAAACTTGCAACAACAGAATGCAACTTGCAAAATTTATTAGTAAATAAGAAGGGGAAAAAGATAGTCCTGATTTTACCAAGTGATTTGCTATTCCTTAATAGAATAATTTATCAATTTGGCAAAGTATACCCCTTGCTGGTATTTTTTGAACAGACAATAATTTAACAATTTAGTTAATCTACTAAATTAGTATCTACTAAAATCTTCCATAGTGAAATAGTCAAGGCAGCATCTCCCCAGCATTTTAGATACAACTTGGGGAACTGAAATAATCACTGCAAAGTTGAAAAAAAAAAACCAAACACTTCATATGAAATAAGTGTGATCTGGATTTCAGCCCACAGATGGTTCTCTGATAGAAAACAGGCCATCGTAAGTCTGGACACCCCCCTCCTCCCACACACACCACACACACCACACATACTGCATCCTGGAGCACAAGTGCCACTGATGCCCTGCCTAGACTGCAGGTGCAGAAGCCCTGGACTGAAAACAAGATGACCTGGGCCCTGGAGCCCTGAATCTATGCTGAGCCCTTTCTGAATCCTGGATGGATGGGGCAGCAGGTTTAGGGTAAAGAATGTAAAAAAATTTTTAAACTTTGGCAAGTAAGTACACAAATGACTCTTTCTTGATTGTCACTTTAATAAGGAAATATCATTCTACCTCTCAAAAAGATATTCTTCTGTCTCATTTGATCTCCCTCTCAAACATCTGGAGGGCAAATGCCTATAAAACAGAGTGGGATTAAAACCTCTTTCCTGTAATAATGGTTAGTTTTATCATTTTTCACCTTCTCTATTTGAAAAGTATATAAAATGTATAGCCTATCATTGACAAGTAACTTCAAGATAGTGGTGGTAATGAAGGTTTGGGAACAACATGGTTAATTTTTTAAAAATTGGCCTCTATATATTTAATTGCTTTATAATAAATTATATGTCAGACCTCTGATAAAACATTAGCTAATGCAAATTTTATTATTAATACTTAATACCTTGTAAAGGTATTAAAATCAGTAATGAACCAAGAAGTATGAATGATATTTTCTAAAATGCTATAATTAGCTGTTCATTCACATTTTTCTTATAAACTCTGTTTAAAAAAGAAGAGACCCAAGAATAAACAATGCTATAAAATACTATTCCAAGAATTCACAAACTTATTTAAGATTAAGAAACAGATATTCTTTATGCCTACAATGATTTTGCTAACAGTAGCACATGATTGTTTTATTCCAAATGGTAATGAAGAGCATCTAAAGACCAGACACAAGAGCCAAAATTAGAATCAAATCATAACTTGGAAGGGTGAATTACTGTTCATGATGTTAGGGTAAAAGGAATTTTAAATGCTACTGGTAATTCACTAGATTAGTGAACTCATCATTTTGGCTATTTTGAGGGAAATATGAAGGGGGAAATTGAGAAATATATTTAAAAATAAATATATAAGACTCTGCAGTTCCTTTTCTGGTTACAGAAAGAATCCTTCATAGATCTATAGGAATAAATTATTGATCTATCCAAACTTCCATCATGGAGTAAGTAGAGCTAACTTATAAGTCTGGAGGACTCTTAGAGTTATAAATTATTGTAGAAACATTTAGCCCCTAAGTAAAGTTGCCGTAACTCTGCCATAACTCTTCACATTGCTTGGGAGTGGGAGCAGGCACAAAAAAAGAGCAGGTGGGCTCTCTGTGTCTACTGAACGAGGTATAATCAGTAAGTTGCACTCTTCCTAATAGGGTCGTGGAATGCTTCTGTTTTATCTATTTTAATAGATGATAGCACCCATAAAACCACATTTGGATGAATGTCAGGAAGCAATCAACAAGCAGTTACAAAAGCATCTACTGTGTGCCCAGAACTAGGCTTGTTGCTATGGAGAAATATAAAAACTAGGTGATACATATGGATCCTGCCTCCAAAAGCATAAACTATGGTTAAAATGTGCTTTTTATGTCTTACTTAAAAATTAAAAATTCTAAGTACTAGGTTCATATTAACCTAAAGTCCTTTTTTGGTCTGAATCCTTTCTAAGAAAGGCAGGCTAATTAGGGCTTTGTTACAATTGGCTGACACTGCTGATTAAAAAAACATACTCAAACACAAAACTTCAGCAATAAAGTGGCAGCCACTGAAACTCGTTCTGCAAATCACATTAAACTGCTTGGGGAAAAGGTATTACATAATACTAAATCATAGCATCTAAGTGAGGAAAACAGCTTTAAACATTCAGACCCTGTTTGGTTACACATGTCAAGGCTTAGATTTCCTAAACTAAGTCTTATTTAAACTAATTATAGTTTACAAATGCATATATATTCTACTGTACTTAATTTTGAACATAATATTATCAAGTACTGCCAAATCATTTATGAAAAGATAATTACAACTCTTTCTCTTAGAAATTCACAGAAATGCTCATTATCGAAGACAATGGGAGCCCTATCAGTGGACCGCATGACTGCAGACCCTCCCTCCGAGGTACAGCCTTCAGCACAGACCGGCCCTCCGAGGTGTAGCTCTCAGCACGGAAGGGTGAACTCAGGGGAAACAGCTCCCCCATAATATTCTGCATCTTGCAAATGGAAAGACTTTGACAGCCCCTGTAAGATCTTACATTTTGGTCCTTAGGAACTTCCTAACTTCTAGCTGCCATTAAGTAAAGGCAGATGATACCTATATTAAGCAAGTGGTCACTCAGAAACTCTTCAATGTCACATACCTGCAGAAATATACACTAAGGGGTGGGAGTAAATATACCTCTTGTTTCTAAGGGCCAATGGCCCTTATTTTGAAAGAGTTGGCCACTTTGCCCACACATGCTATGATTTAAACAAACACACCATGCAACATGGACTGTCATAGCATTTTTAACCCTCCATCAATATCTAACCTGTATAAAACGGGAAAAGAAGTCAGATCTTGAAGAGACATTATAAATCTATACAGCTCTAAGATAGGAAAAGTCCTGTGTTTTTTGACATACACCTATTTAAGGAAATTGCTAACTTGATGGGTTAATATTCATTGAAACAACATCTCAGGCAATTCTACTGTTGTGTCTTCAGTGTACATCATATCAGAAATTTCATAAAATTGCTAAACTACACAAACCATATCATGTTATTTTGGAATTTGTACAATTTAATGCATCCTAATGGGAGTGTAATGATTATGTTCATAAAATTTATAAAGTAATTATATATTTACAGATACTTTACAAAAATAATTCACTCCTTACATCAAATCTGTGATCAATCAAAATTAACGCAGTTTCACAGATAAGGAACTAGATATTGGAATAATCTGCCTAGAAATCAATTCAGAACAAAAATATGAATTCATTGTCTTTAAATTTCTAGCCCTTGTAAATTCTCCTTTCTTCTCTCTGTTTCTAAATAATTTCAGCAAGCTGAAAGTTCATACAGGATTTCTTTACTACTCAGCTATTCTTCCACTCTTAAAATTAAAAGTAGGACTAGCAAGGAACACTATTATTTAAAGTCCATGGCAAATTAAAGGACGAACAGAAACCTAAGCAAACATCATTTTACAATTAGGCTGTTTTGGGTGCACCCTAATTCTGCGGTTTGGAACATTCAGCTGGGAAACACAGAAGATCCATACAGAAACAGACCCAATTGTTGAAACAGGGTTTGAAATCACTCCAACATTTGATTTGTTTTCAAAGTTCAGAATGAGGTTCTAACCAAGATATGAGAAAGTTGCTTAATCTAAATTATTATGACCTTCTAGGTATTCCAATTCAACACCCTGATACATCCCACTCTATTCAACATCAAAATAAACAGGCACAAAATTTCTATCACAAACCAGTATGAATAGTTAAGTTACATCTCAATTGATGAGCCTATCCAGACTCTTTTAAGACTCAAGTTATTTCTGTTATCTCTAAATGTGTAGTTTCTAAGAAAAGGGTCATAACTTACTTTTCTGTGTAATAGTGTAAATCAAAGTACATGGATTCTAAAAACATCGGTTCATCTTAAAAAAGACTTATTCATTGGGAGAAAATGGATACTCTTTCAATTTTTGTGAGAAAACAGGCAAAAAGAATATTAAAATAATCTATGTTGACAGGATATGACAGAACATCCCCTAAGCTAATGCTATCTCAATAAAAAAGCTGCATGATAAATAACAATCATTATTTTTAACATGAATAAAAATTTTTACATAAAATATATTGTCAAATTTGAAACTAAGTCCAAATTTTCTTGTAAAATAGCCTCTAGGACGCTAGCTGATATAACAGGAACTCCAGAATACTTAATAAATAAACATTAATTACATAATTTTCATTAATGACTTTTAAACCTTACTTTTTAATGTTTTAATATATTTTAGTAAAAAAGATCTTCTGTTAAGAGTTTGTATTCTATTTTGATCTTTAACAAGCCAAATTATCTTTTCTATATGATGTTTAAAATGTAAACAGCATTACACAATAATCACAAAATACATGAATGAATGAAAGATTTGCTAAAATTTTTGATTTAATTATTAAAATTCAGCAATTTTCCTGATTTTATCCTGACAAAAGAGTAAATTATGCTTTAGAATATACATACTTTTTCTGACAATTATATCCATTTTATTGACTTTTCAATTAACAATAAATTAGTTTGGACAGTAACTCAGAAAATACTTTCTATGGTGGCTTTAACTTGCACTTTTTAACCCAAAAATGTTATCCAGAGCCATTTCAGACAAATGTAACCAAAGTATAAACACTAAGAATTCACATTCCCTTGAGTAACTGTCCTTCCACTTAGAACACAATGAACTTCTTACGTAGGAAGAATTCTTGTTCACTTCATTGCAACCCCATTTTAGCACAGGATCAAAGCCAAAAAAAAAAGTAAAAAGTGAAGAAGTGAATAGAAAGGATATGCATTATTAATAAACCATATGCTATCTGACTATTAGGTTCCCACAGAAATATTTTGCTGTATATTTTCAAAATCACTTCCCAAGTGTAGCTGTTTTCACCCAAGGACAGATTTTCATTACCTGCTTTCATTATATTTTATAATGAAATGCTCCTTTTCAAGTTACTTATTGGAGTTATTACCAGCAAACATTGTCCTATACCTCCAGTTCAAGATACTAGTATCAGTGTAATACTTAGTTTCAGTTATAAATGATATATATATAGCACATTTATATACTGCAATAAATACACAAAAATGAATACAAGTTATTTTCATAAAATACAATTTCTAATCAATTTAGGAGACTTCCAAACTACGAGGACATTAAATACTTAAAACACCAGGTAATCCCCTCTGTTATAGAACACCAGTCAGGTGAAATCTGAAAGAGATTCTTTATTGGTAGCCAAATACAGTTGACCATACCTGTAATCTCTGTGTTTTCTTGCTATTTAAGAAAAAATATAGAACCTAGACATTTAAAACATTATCAGTGTAATAATTACTACAGTCTCTCACTGGATCTTTTAAAATTTCATTAAAAATCACCAAAGTCATAATGAACACAATTATTGCAGCTACGTCATTTGAAAAGTAGTATAAATTATGCTGCTAAAGACAAAAACACTGAAATACATAAACATCACAATGTAACACAGCCGTAACTCATAACTATTTCATATGAAAAATTAAATTTAAAAAGATATGTTAGAGAACTTGGGAATTTTTCACTTTAGCAAAACATTCTATTTATACTTGTGTATTTCCAACTTCTATAATATGATACAGTACACAATAAAATACTTTTAAAAGATATGACATTCAAATGCTTCATTTACACAAATAATATTGCCAATACTAATAAAGTGATGCCCTTAAACATGAACTGCTCTGCTAATTGTGATTTTAAAATGTTTACTCCATCTTACATTTTAGTTAGCAATTAGCATTACATGTTAATCAGTTCTGTGGTGACAAATAGAGAGGGTCCTAGTCAAAATACTGTTTCTCAAAAGTAATGTACATCATATTGCTTGAAACTAAACAACCATATAAAAGTGGCAATAATTTATCTAAACATTGATTATGAAAGACAACTGGCATATATGCAGGCAGAGTGTTGAGTTCATGATGATTTATTTACAATAAATATGTAATGGAAGTGAACATGATAAGATTTTATGTCAATTCCTACAGTCTCTTAAAGTTATAAAAATATTATATAAAATACCACAGACTTTAGAGGCTATAACTTCATGTGGTTCTGATACTAGCAGCTGAAAAGTGTTTATAATTTAAAAATAAATAAACTATAGAGGTAAACGAGTTACAAAACAGCAGAGGACTGCGATAGTCACAGAGTGAAAAGAATTGCCTAATTACACAACAGCTAACAAAATGGTGAAGCAGTTGGATCAAAAGTTTTAAAAACCTCTTTCAGAGATTTATCATCTGTTTCTTTACTGGGGTCATCATCTGGTGTCGGGCTCACCTGTCCTGGCTGCCTTGATTGCCTCGGATCGCTGTACTGGGGCCTAATTAAGCCTGTCAATGCCTGAATAGGAAGACTGTGCACTGCTGGGACCTGAACCTTCCCAGAACTCCCGAGAACATCTGCCTGCGGGGCAGCCAGCCCATCAGCAGTGATTTCCACGTTCGGAGTGGTTTTCTGTGCTAAGATTGCTTCTCCAGGAGAAGGCTCATTTTGGTCACTATTTTTTAAACCACTACTTTTTTTCTGGTTCTCCGCATTTTCTCCTAAAGAAACTGTTGCTAGCTCTGATGCAGATGATGAACTATGATCCCTAGGGTCATACAAACTAATACCACCGAGAACTGAACTTGGAGTTCCCAGTGGAAGGCCAGCTGAAGACAAGAGTTTAGGGGCGTATGGAGGCAGAGCCCCAGGACCAGAATTGCTAGTTCCTGCCCCTGAGGACTGTGATGAACCAGGGTTTGATCTGGCTAAATGAGGGGTGCCCTTTGATGTATGTGAATCCTTCATAACCATTTGATGAGACTCTGTACTGGGCAGTCTGTGAAGCCTAGGATCAAAATTTTTCTGCAGCCTAGGATCTCCTAATTTACTTCCTGAACTATGTAAGTCTCCAAATTGTTCTAGATAGCCTTCTCTGTTTGTTGTGTTAATTTTGGCTTTAGCTGCTAATTTTGGATCAGTAGACACTGTGTTTTGATGAAGAGCACTTTTTGTATTCCATAACCTATTGAGCCTCTGGTCAGCTATAAGTGGGGGCAGAGGTAAATTGATTGAAGATACTGGATCGGGTTTAGGTAAAGGTACTGGAAGTAAGTCTTCTGGAGCCCACACGATGTGTTTTGCAAAATTGGGTTTGGTTAGGATAATGTCCATTTTAATGTGACTGAACTGTCTCAATTGTGACCTTGGATCCTGGAGCATTATACCAGGTGAAGCATCCAAAGGTATTAAGAAAGCTTTTTCTCTCAGTTCTCTTTCTGTGTCTTCATCATCATCATCTCCTCTTTTGTGTTTGACATTAGCGCCAGCATTTGCATGATGTAAATCAAACTTTGCCCCACCAACAGATGAGCCTACGTGACTACTTCCGTTCCCTCTTAATTTCCTGGGATCCCACACAAGTCTAAGATCCAGTGGAGCAGACTCAGAAGGTTTTTTAATGTCTTGCCTTGGGATAGTCCTAAGTCTAGGGTCAACCACTTGATTTCCTTTACTTTTCTCTTTAGCAAGTCTTGGATCAGTAGGAGTGCCGAGTTCGATGGAAGATTGTTGCTGATTCCTTAAAGATTCTGTTTGTCTCTGTAATGTTTTCAGTATTGACTTGACACTGCTTCCTTCTTCTTCTTCACTACTGGAATACCAGTTAACTGTATCATCTAAATGCAGACAAAAACTTATTATAAAGAATGAAGCATTTATATTTGGCCTTAATTATTAAGATAAAAAACACATACTGTGTATTTCTAAAATAGGTGTGGTCTAACTTCAAGAAAATGCATGACAGAAATGCCAGGTTTTAATACTGAAACAAGATAAGATGTGGTAAGACAATTACCAATTCAGTCATTATATTCTGTAAAGGAAGAGGTACAATATTAGAATACGTGTAAGGTCCTTCCAGCCAAAGTCAGGACCTTTTATTCCAATTGGCCAAAGGGAACTCAGATGTGTGTGTGGTATTGTATGGCAGGGTTGGGGGAGAAGGGAAGATACTCTTGGAGAGGCATTCTAACATGGTTTTGGAATCTTCAATTCAATTATTCCTTAAGCTTCAAAATTCTGGATTTATCAAGTTAACAAGCAACTAGAAAGAAAAGAATACACTATAAATGATGGTAAAGGGAGCAGTGGAAACTGAGCAAATGAAGGATGGGGTGGAGACTTTTCATTTACACTTTATGATATTTTTAGATGTTTGACCCATGTGAATATATTAACTATTCAAGCATTAAATTAAAAAATAACAAAAATAACTTCCTCAAATTTATAGACTCTTAACTTTATGAGAAAACTTTTGGCCTTACTCCTAAAGCCTATTTAACTCTAGTGTGTTAGACACAAATTTAAGAAGCCTACCTATCAGATGTCTTCTCTCTGGTAGAGAAGGAATTACAAACTGAAAGTTCAGGAGGGTGATTCTCCCTCCTCTCCGTTAAAATATATATAGGCTGGCTCTGAATTGACCACAAAGTATCTACTCTTCACATTCTTGCCAGAACATACAATACAGATATACACTCTGTATGTGTGCGTGTATGTGTGTGTGTGTGTGTGTATCCATCCTAGAATACCTTAGATCAGTAGAACATCCTACATATTCTAATTTTTACCTAATTTCATTGCTCACTAATGTGTTCCTACTGCATGAAACTTTAGTGTTACAGGTTTAGTTAAAACAGAGCAGTACTTATAAAAACAAGCACTGGTATTTAGGGTGGATTATGGTTTAAAACAGCATGTATAATAGTATATCACAATTATAAAAAGTTTTACTCAGATCTCAGTGTCTGAAAAAACTACTTCTAGACACTAGATCTTTTTACTTCTCGTACTTCTCTTTGACATCAAAGAAAGTCTGATCTGGACTTGTGATTCACTTTTACCTGTGCAGTTATATTAAATGTTCATGCATAATAATTTCACTCTTTATACTATTTGTTGCTTCTATACTTATTTTCTTTTCATTTCAATATATTGTAAGCAGTCATACATCCTTCTTAAAATAAGAGTGAAAATAGTAACAGAAGAATAGAAGAGATAGACCAATGGAAAATAGATATTAGAAAATAATACTTAAAAGCTTTTTATCAAAGGAGAGTTGAAATTCATATAAAAGCATTAAAATTTATAAAAATGAACACAAACAAAAAAAATCTTAGCTGTTAAAGATTATTTCTTTAAATGGTTCCTGATCGAAAAAAGAGAAAGATTGTTTCTGTATATTGAGCAAACCCTCATAGAACATTATCAATGTATAATATTATAGTACAAACTTTTAAAATAGCTAGAAGTTTTAATTTTCTTGTTTATGAAAACATAAAGTTCTGTAAGACTTTACAGAAAGATTACCCTTAAAGTGGTTGTTTTTTAAAATTAAGTTTTAGCACTTAAAGGAGTACATTTAAATTGTATAGAAAATTCACTTATCAGAGATCCCTCATTTTCCTGTGATATTAGATAAAAAATGTTACCTTCTTCGAAAATGTAACAAAAAAATATTCATATAATAGCTTGTGGCTACCTAGTCTTATCTAGATTTACAAACTTATTCATAAATTTCATATTTAAGAGTGGCCAAACATCAATTTTGTAATTCATAAAAAGAACTGGATGTTTTAAACTTTTCTTGCCTTTGACTGAACTAATTGTTGTATACTTATCAATATCAAGAGTTCTAAGGTAAATTTACCATATAATCTTTTCATATTTAAAATAGTATTTCTTAATAATATGGTGGAACCTTGAGTATAGCCTTATGCCCCCAAAATTTCTCTAATAACTGAATCATTTTGAAGTTGGGCTAGAATTCAAAATCCTCAAATTGGAAGGTATCTTTTTCCTATTCTATTAATATTTCTTTTCTTCCAAAAAAAGGTTTAACTGCTTGCAAGTCTGATCACCTAAGCTTTGAACTCTAGGTTGAAATCTATTCACTACTAACCTTTTGCAATTGCAGTTAATTATTAATGCATTAATGGCACTGAAACCACAATCAATCTCAAGAAGATAGGAGATACAAGGTAAACTGGGAATAGAATAGATAGGTCACAGGAATACATTTTCTAATTTTAACCTATCCAAATAGGTGAGATGCTATTAATAACACCTGACACACCTTCTTCCTTGCTTGGTGCCCTATGAGGTTGGGTGCTGGTTGGTTCTTCGTCTTCTTGGTATCTCTGAGTAAGTCTGACAAAAAGAGCTCTCTGCACTGCAGGGAGGAGCCCTGGTGCAGGAAGAGGACCATGGCCTGTCCTGTTGCTGCTGCCGTCAGACCCACTCCCACAGTTAGGTGAGTCTTGAAGAACAGGAGGCTGCTGCTGGGCAAATTCACCATGCCACATCCCATCTACATGCATAACATGGGAGAGACAGACACTGAGTAAGCACCAAACTCCACCACAGTCATAAGAAATGGAAGCTCTTGTAATAATTATATTCGATTATCAAATTATTAAGTATTTTTAAAATATTTTTAAAGTTATCTTAAACTCTATTGTTTCAAAAGTTTGGCTAAACTGAAAACATTTTACGGTTTCAATGTCATCAATTGTACCTTTTAGCTTTACTGAAAACATACATTCCTATCATGCTTTTAATGAAAAATAGGACTTTGAATATTTTAAGCTAGGAATAAGTTATTTCCAAAGGTAAACTTACCACCTGAGGTAGTGGGTGGCTGAAAACTATGTACAGCATGCTGTGAATAGTAATTATCATAAAACTCAGCTGGGTTTTGTAGGGACTCATAACTGGTGTTGAGCTGTATTTCACCGGGACTTTGCTGGTATGATGAACCTGGAGAACAGTGATTCTCTCTGGGTACTTTCATCACATGTCCTGGAAAGCCTGGAGACTGGTAAGCCCCACCCATATTTGGTAGTGTCAAAGGTGTATCCGGCTGAACAAGTACTCCAGCTTGATTGTGAGGGCCTACAATTTCAGGTGGACCAGGTGGTAAAGGTGGGCTCTGCGGCATTGGTAGACCAGGAGGTCCTGGACATGGGTGATGTCCAGGGGAGCCTGGGTGCATCACAGGACTGCTGCGTCCCTGAGACATATTAGGTCCAGGACCTGGACTTGACCCAGAACTATAAATATGTTGAGGGCGTGGGCTGCTTCCCTGAAATTGTGGTCCTGGAGGTGAGGCACTGTTATAAAATGCTGGTGGCCTGCAGACAAGAAATAGTATTCCTTATTATTTCAAAGAAAAGAGACAAGCGAGAATGTTGACACTTCTAAATAGATACTGGTTAAGTATGTTTTTCTGTATCAGAATAGAATAACTGTGTCTAAGAAGCAGTTTATTCCCTAACATCTTTAGGTAGAAACACCACATATGCCTCTTGCTTTTGTTTTAGCCCACTGGCTGCTTACTACCAGCTGCTCTAAAACTCACTCATTATAGATATTTTGAAAAATATGGAAAAGTACTAAGATCACCTCTAATCCCACCATCCAAAGATAAATTTTTTGATTGGTTCTCTCCTAGTCCTTTTGCTGGGTATACATAGACTTTTTTACAAAAAAATTAAAATCATACTATATAAACATACAGTGTTGTATTACAATTTGTAATTGGTTATTGCTGGCATATAAAAAGACTTTCAGTTTTTGAAAGTTGCTCTTCTTTCTGGACATCTTACTCATTTAATTATTATTTCTAATAGTTTTGTCAGTTGATTCCTTTGGGTTTATTGAGGGAGACTGTCCAAACAATGAGTCTACCACTCTACTGCTAATCTTTATACCTTTTGTACCTTTCTCTTATTTCATTGACTAGGTAGGATCTGATATACAGTATCTGCAAAATAGTGGAATAACTTTTTCTTCTTCTTGACTTTAACATAAATACTTTTAATGGTTCACATTAATTGTGATATTTACTTTAGATTTATTGTTCCTCATTTGCTGAGATCTCCTTGCTTCCCTGAGTGGTCAGGGTTAAAAGAATAAACGATGGGAACTTACTTCTTTCCAATTTTGTGTGCTAAATCCACAGTAGGTTTTACAACTATTTCAAAAAGAGATGGAATTTTCTTAAAATCATCAGAGAGATCTGTCTGAAAATCATCTTCAGGATCAGAAAAGGGAAAATGCTCTGCAGGGGTTGGCAGAAGCCCAACACCTGGAGGCGGCTTGGGAAGAGGAGTTATGCCACGCTTTCTAAGTTCTTCTAATTCTCGCTCGTCTTCATTTATAAGTTCTTCATCAGTATTTAACACCTAAAAATATTGGCAAAGATTACTATTTCAAAACAAGTTCTCTTCCTCACATTAAAATTGTGAAGACTTCAGTAAACTAGTTTTGACAGTATGAAAATAATATTAAAGTCGAAATGGATCAGAGATAGCTAATTCCTCATTTTTGATAAACAGAATGAGGTTCAAAGAAGTAAGGAATATTGCTCAAAGTAAATTAGTTTGCTTAATGGCAGAACAAGGATAAGAACAAAAGAGTCCTAATTCCTAGTCCAATATTTCCGCTTTTCTAATGCATTATATTAATAGAATAAAACATAAAATAACAAATCCTCAATTTCTCAGCAGTTTCATAAAATACGATTTATAAAATATGATTCAAGTCAAAACAATCTTCAGAGAGACCTAACAAATAATCAAGGTACAGAAATGTGACTCACTTTGTCCAAAAGTTTCCTTGTTTCTTTAGTCAGATCATCATGGGAAAATTTACAGTTGTCTCCTTGGTAACATTTTGCTCCGCTATGGTAGAACTTGCATGGAAATTCATGTAAATAAAAATATTAAGGAACAGACCAAGTAAAATCAAGGTCTAATTTTTTAAGCAAAAAAAAAAAAAAATAACTGTTATACAAGATGATTAAGTTCTAGAGATCTGCTGTACAACATTGTGCCTACAGTCAACAAGACTGTATTTTTTACTTAAAATTTTAAGAGGGTAGAACTCATGTTGTGTTCTTACTGGTTAATTAAAAAAAACTGCTGAATCAATAAGGTTGTATTATATATTGTAATGAATTTCCTATAATCATATCAGATAATTTATTTTTTATTTTATTAAGATTAAATATTTTAATTATATAGAAATGTTCAAGCAGTTTTTAAAATCTTTCACTTATTAAAACTAGAAAACCACTTTTTAAAGGAAAAAATCATTTATAATGGTTACAGTAAACACTACAGTATTTTAATTACATAAGCCCCATTACCTTCTGCAATAAAATAATATATATAGACAAATTTTGTAGCATGGACTTGTATCTATGAAGAAAGTAAAGGGGCTTGATATGTCATGTTAAAGGCAAATATCCCAACAGTGAAAACTAAGACTAATCTTACTTAAGATTTTAGAGACTAACTTCTAAAGAAAATATTAAATCTAGACGCATAGTGAGAAATACACCATTTTTAGGTGATGTGAGTTCAGGGAATAGCTGGGTAGTTTTAGGATATTTATTATTATAATCATATTGATAAGGTCAAGAAAGAAAAATCATATTATCTTGGCAGATGCAAAAGGCAACTGATAAAATTCAAAATCCTTTTTCAATAAAAAAAAACCTATTGGTAAAATAAGAATATACTTTCTTAACATGGTTTTAAAAAAACTATCTTAAAACAATAGCCACAAGCCAAAACAAAAAGGCATCATTATTAAAATATGTATTATGTCTGCCAAAATCACTATTATTTAACATTATTCTAGAAGTATAACAATACAATTAAAATATAAAATAAGAGGTATAAATATTGTAAATGAAATAAAATTATCATTATTTACAGATGGCATGACTATGTGGAAAAAACCATAAGAATAAACTGAAAGCTTTTAGAAACAGAGTTCTATAAGATGTTTGGTTTCTAAAGAAATATGTCAAATTTGAAAAAAAATTATTTTTCTCACATAGGACAAATTTATTACAACATTTTGATAAACAAGGCAGGAGTATTTTCCCTACCAAATGTCAAACATACTCATAGAAGGGAATAGTCACAATAGATAAGAGTAGTGCAGAAGCAGAATTGTGTACAAAGGAAACATTACGGTCTGGTAAAGATGCCCTTTTAAATCAGTGAAGATGAGACAATGAGTTAACCATCCGGAAAAAAAATAAAGTCCCTACGGCACATCATACATTAAAATAGAGTCCATATGAATTAAAGATGTAAATGTGAAATAAAAAATACAATCTTCACAGTTATATTATATTAATATATCTTATTTTTGTAAAAAATTACGTTTATAAACATATATATATTCATTCATACACACATAGCTTAGCATAGAAAAAAGTCTGAGAGGCTTTATGCACATTGTAAGCATGGTTATCCCTGCAGAATGACATTACTTAGGATTTTTTTAAAAGTTTGAAGGTTATCAAACATATACAAAAGTAGAAAGAATAATAATAAATTCCCTCTTATGCTGACCACATAGGTTCAACAATTTTCATCATTTGGCAATTGTGTGAGATCTATAATATATTACCCCTATACTTTCTTCATGACTCTCACTCCAAACACTGGAGTATTTTAAGGCATATTTCAAACACATTTCATCTGTCAATATTTCTATACCTACTTCAAACAGATAAGGAGTACTTTTTCTTACCAATCACGACCTCATTATCAACCTGACAAAATTAATGTGTTAATTTCAACTAGTACCCAGTCACTATACAAATTTTCCAGACTGTTTTTTAAAAGTTTTTTTTTGTAATTCCTTTATGCAGATCAGGATACAAAGATGATCCACAAATCGCATCTAGTTAATGTATCTCCCAGGTTTCTTTTATTGATCTCTATTTTTATATCATGCATTTGTTAATTTTAATATTGGTTATAGATGGTATTTAAATATTCCCTACTGTTTCTTATCAGGAGGTATTTAATATCTGATTGTTTCTTTTTAGTGATGTTAAAACTTATCCATTTAGGTATTGTCAGCTTCATCCATCAATTATAAAGTTCCTCATCAACTTTTCACCTAATGATTTTTGTAGCCATCAGTAATCACTACCCAGATGGATTAGAATTTGCAAAAGGTGTAATTGCTAGGTCAAAGGATAAATGCATGCACAATTTTGCCAGACGCTGCCAAGCTTCCCTCCATAAGGGTTGCACTGTTTTGACATTCCTACCAACAAGGTATGAATGTATCTGTTTTCTCACAGCCTTGCTAACAAACTTTGCTGTCACGTTTTTTGGGTTTTTGCAAATCTGCTGACTGCAAATGTTATCTCAGTGTAGTTTAAATTACATTCCTCTTATCTGAACAAGATTGAGCATCTTTTTGGGACCATTTGCATTTCTCTTTCTGTGAATTATCTATATCTCTTGCCTCATTTTCCTTCTCAATTTATAAAAACTCATATATTAAGGCTATGACCTCTTCATAACTAATATAAATTGCATACAATTTTTCCCACTTTATTATTTATCTTTTTATTTATTTTATGTTATATGTTTTTGTTATAGAAATTTAAGCTTTTCTGTGTAGTCTAATTTTCAATCTTTTCTGTATTGCTTTGAGTCATAGGAAAAGTTTTCTGTTCTCTTGGATTATAAAGGAATGCATTCATGTATTCCTCTGGTTATTGTATGGTTCAATTTTTTTACATTTAGATCTATGATAGAAATTTTTCATTTTCTACTTTACTTTCTTTTTTGTTTTTTACATTATTTTTTTAAACTTGACAACACAATTTAAAATTTATCTGAAAAAATAAACATGAGAATCTACCAAATATCACAGTGTGCTGTTGAGGCAGAAATAATCACAGCAAAGCAACACAGATATGAGGGCAAACAAATCCAAAGAGCCAAACAGAAAGTCTAGAAAAAAACCGTATGTGTAAACATTTTGTCTATGATAGAGTTTCAAATCCATGGGAAAAGCTCCATTAGTTGTAAGTGGTAGGGAGCAATCAGCTGGCTTTTTGGGGGAAAATTAACATGAAAAAATGCATAATACATTTTTTTTTTTTAAAAAAGGACCAGAATATGATATATAGTGAAATCTCTATTTGAGTAGGGGCAGGAGTATAACTTAAAAGTACATATTTCCAAGGGGAAAAGTAGAGAACATAACAGTGTCTATCATTGGATGATAAGATTTGACAAAACTTTGATTTTATAATTTTCAACAATAATATACTACTTATGAACCTAATTGTCACAAAATAAATATTTTTCCAACTACTTCAGCAAGCACAGTCTCTTCAAATACTTTAAGCTGATTATACAATATTAAATATAAAGTACTTTTACTTCATAGAATTTTTTTCCAAAGGCAAGTTATTTCATTTTCCTAAAGAATAAAAGTCAGTTTGCCCTTTTGAAGTACAAAGTCTGACTAAACTGGGTTTGTGTAATATGTTGTTTTAAATTTAAAACAAAACTAGGCTTTCTAGGTTATATTTATGAATTTAAAAAATCTCAATGCTTTGAAACCTCAATATTTTGTTTAATGTACATTTTCAATAAAGGATATTATGCATATAAATGCAGTTCTCTCCTTTGGTACAATATCCTTGTAAATAAAATTTGCAGATCTCTTTTCTCTTCTCCAACTCTGCATCATGATCAAATTTACACTGATCTCCCTGTTCGCAAAAAAAGAAAAGAAATAAATAAATAAAAAGAAAAATAAAAGGTAAGAAAAAAAGAAGAAAATGAAACAAAGAAAAAATTAAATTGAATTTTCTCCATGGTGTTTCATGATGGAATTTATGGTCATTACCTTCAGTCTTTAAATAATGAGCTAACAGTAACTCAAACACTCCCTTAGAGCTCCTGCCCAAGACAGTGGATGTGGCTACGTGCAGCAAGGCTGCAGAGTGAGCAAGGCCTCAGAGGACATTGACTGCCTGAGTTCCAACAGTACTCACCATTTCTGAACTACCATGGGAACTTATTCAACCTCTTAGTGCTCTGTATAAAATTAGGATAATAATATTAAATAGTAACTACCTTGTAGGGTCACTGTGAGGTTTAAATCATTTAATAATAGTTGTACTTTGAACAGTACTTGCCATGTAGTATTATGTGATTGTTAAGTAAAATATGATTTTAACAAATTATGTTACTGTCCTAGAATATCATTAAATGACCTTATATACAGTATTTGCATGCAGGATACATTTTCAAGAACCAATTCTATTACAACTATATGAGAAATTTAAAAAATTATCCACCCCCCAAAAAGACTTTAAGTATCATTTGGGAAGTTAAAATAATTTATGATACCCCTATAAATTTACCTTAATACATCTCCCTTCCAAGAAGTATTTACAGATTTGTTTTCCTTTGTGTTCCACTGTATGCTGATTAATAAATTCCTGAGTCATAACCTTCCATTTTTTCCCTGGTTTACTGTACTGTGAGAAAAAAAATTTCATTTGAATCAACATTTGAAATATTAATAGATATTAAATGTATAGCTAAATGGATCTGGAAAGCAATATGAGCTGACTATTAAAAGTGATCAAAATTGAACATTCTGATGCTATTCATTTATTTGGAGAGAGATATGTTTCTAATAATCTGCTTATTGCTACCAGTGGTTACAAAAAAGCTTATTTCTATTTTATGAGGACGCACAACTTCATTTTTAAAACAAAATTATGAAAAGCTTGAAAATTCACGATACTACTCAGTTTTAGCAAAGGTACAATAAAATATGCATTCTCATATCTCATTGATAGCTATGTGATAAAAGACTTTAAAATATCCATATTGTTTGATACAAAATTTGTACTTTTCAAGATTATTCTGAAGGAATTATCAGGGAGGCACACAAAGATTTATTCATAAAACAACTGTTGCACAATTACTGACATAGTAAAATAAACAAACAAACAAAACTAGAAATACTCTACATATCCAAAACTATTTAATAGCAGACTGGTCAAATACATTATGATACATTTAGCTGGTAGAATTTTATGCAGTCATTAAACAATCATGTGATAGACAACTTTGGGACATAAAAAATGTTTACAAATTTATGAAGTGAAAACTTGATCCCAATTCTATAATAGTAAATAAAGGCAAAGGAAAAAGAATATTAAAAAAGAAAAAAGAATATGTCCCCACATTTTATGGTATATGTCTCTAGATAGTCAGATTAGAGATTTTTTTTTGTGGTTATGTTGTGTTTTCTCTAAGAAAAAAAAAGCACACAAACAGGGAGCATATATTACCTTTAACTTTTAAATTAAAAACATTAAGAAAAAGAAATATATTAAGAAAAA